TTTTTAAACAATTAAGCTCTTCATTTATAAATAATTTTGTCGCCCCATTTTCACTACCTAACTTTATACAATCCTTGATCCTGCAAATTTGTACATTTATTTACTCACACAATAACTTAATACTATTCTTAAACCTTATATTGTTTATTTCTAATATGAGCGTTGAAACAGGGGTATGCTCACCAAACTCTTCGATCAAAAGATCACGCAACGTGGCCCAATCATTTGATTGCTCTCACCTTACTACATTTGCGGCAGGTCCTTTTAGCGAAGTAAATATTAAATTTGGAAAAAATCGTGGTCTTCCGGGGATCCAGTTCCAGAAATTTCGTCGATGCTGCTGACAAACAGGGCAAGATAATTAGCATTAACATCAAAAGGCGCTATTAATTTAATATTTTGCAAAGCAAATTCTCTTCATCCTCTATATTCAGTCATGCTGAAAGTATCCTGAAGGCTTATTGACCGGAAGGTAGTATTTAAAATGTCCAACTGCTCCTCAATATTCATTCAGGAGCCAAAATGACAAATATTTGATTACAGGCAATATTCCTGCTTGAAATCTTTGACTTGCGGACTAGGAAGTTTCCTTTGTAGGTTCTCAAGGATCTTTTGCGCAGATCCCACCGACTGCGCCAATACAATACAAAAGTTTGTATTTGGTTCTTTCCTACAATTTATTAAACAACTACCAGAGCCCCCGACGTCGTTCGAGGTAAACAAATAAAAATATAAAACAGTAATACAAATATTCAGTTCAGCATAATTTAAAGGAGACAAACTATTTTCTTTGTTTACATTATGACATCCTTATGAGCCATACTTTTAGCTTTATCGTGCTTTAACTAATATATATTGATCATCACTTGTACTACAAATCTTGTACCATTATTAATATTAGGTGGATTAAGGTAACGATCAAATTTCTAAATTAAAATTATTCTACTACGGTACATTCCATTTAACTGCCTATTCGATTAGCTGTTTTAGTATGGCTGCACTTTTCTGGTAGAATGCTTAATTCGGAAGGAGTTTTATTCATTATGTATGAACCTTTTTCGTTTAACAGCATCGCGGGATTAAAAAACGATTTAATCTTTCCATTTCAAAATAATGTAAAGACGGTAAGGTTTCAAAAAAACACACAGAGTTTTAGCTATCCGAGTTATCTAATAGATGAATACATATAAGTATATCCCCCTTTTACAAACTCATTTATACTTTACTCTGAACATCTCCCATAGATACCTATGTCCGAATACCAATTTCAAGTTCATGTGACTTATGGGACCCAGTTTTAACAAACTCGTTTATATATACCCTCGTATAAGCACCTACCATTGATATGTCTGCATACAAAATTTCAAGTTCGTGTGACATGTGGTTCCGAAGTTATAGCTGATAAAAAATGCCAAGCCTTTGGGATGTGCCACGCCCCCTTTTACAAACTCGTTTATACATTCCTTCCTATACGCACCTACCGTTGATATGTCTTCATACCAAATATCAAGCTCGTGAGACTTATGGTTCCGAAGTTATAGCTTATAAAAACTTCCGCGCCTATGGGATGTGCCACGCCCCCTTTTACAAACACGTCTATATATACCCTCGTATAAGCACCTACCCTACCATTGATATGTCTGCATACAAAATTTCAAGTTCTTGGGACTTATGGTTACGAAGTTATAGCTGATAAAATATTCCACGCCTATGGGATGTGCCGTGCCCCTTTTTGCCAACTCGTTTATACAGGTTGTCCCAGAAGTAACGTGCCAAACTTTAGCGGAAGGTAGGTGGGGGGGTGAGCTCCCTGATAAACAAAAATTTTTGTGGTAAAAGTGTCACCGTTTTTGCAATATTTACATTTTTTCGAATTTAAAAAAAAATCGAGCCTTTTCATGTGTTTTCTTTAACTGCAACTACAAACCGGGCAATACTTAGTAAATTTTTTATGTAAAATACGTCCAGATAGTTGCCTCTCCATTCTCAAATACAATGTAGTTAAAATATATTAAGGAACCATCATAAAATTAGGACTATTTCTGGATGTTTAACTTTTTGATATTTTCTTCCCCAACTTTGACTATCTCGGGTGAAAAAAAAATGTACTGAGCTATAACATAAAAAAACTGCACATTTAATAAAAATTTCAGAAAGGTGCCACACTTGCTGTTTTGGATAGAAAAAAAAGTTATAGCCGCTTTTGTGGGTAAAGGACTGAGACACGCTAGAATGTATTTATTTATGTATTTTGAATTTGCTCTTGTTACCGTCAAATGACATGCTAAATAGTACAAAGGTAAATTATTACCTGCTCCTGACATTATTTTGTGTTACTTACCGGAATTAGTGAAAGTGGATTTTGTGAAATTGGACCCTTCGAACATTGTGTTATTAATACCATGACAGAGAACACGCAGTATACGTCGCATGAATATGCGGATATTCACCTAATTTACGGTGAAGCTTGCTTTAATGCCAGAGCTGCTCAAAGACTCTATGCAGAGCTATACCCCAATCGTCGACATCCGGGTCGTGAAGTATTCGCCCGGACCCATAGAGAAATATATGAAGGTAAGTGATTTTTACACCTTTCTTGTTTGCTTGCTTGTTAACAATCATTTTTCACTTTTTTAAGGTCGCATACCTGGAAGGCGTGGCGGCGAAACAGGACTAGGTCCATCGACTTCAGTGAGAATGATGGAAAGACGGACGGGAATACCAAAAACTACAGTTCACAAAGCTTTAAAAACCATCGATTTCATCCCTACCACATTCAACGTGTTCAGGCTCTACAGGAAAGAGATTACCTATCGAGGGTTAGATTTTGCCGTGAAATGTTGCGAATGCATGCACCAGACCTCAACTTTTTTAATAAAATAATTTGGAAAGATGAATCATCATGCAAACGTGATGGTTATTTTAATTTACATAACCTTCACAGTTGGCAGATAGACAATCCTCACGAAATGAGAGAAGATCGTTCGCAGTGTCGGTACAAAATAAATTTATGGTGCGGTATTTTTAATTGTCAGATATTTCGACCTGTGGAACTGCCGCCAACGCTCAACTCTCACAGTTATTTAGAGTTCCTTCAGGAACGGCTTCCAACTCTTTTGGAAAATGTATCCTTAAACCTGCGGCGAAGACTATGGCTGCAAAATGACGGGTGCCCTGCTCACTACGGGCGTGAAGTAAGAGCTCATTTAGACGAAACTTATCTTCGCCGATTGATTGGACGATACGGGCCAATCACGTGGCCCGCTCGATCGGCAGACCTGAGTCCATTAGATTTTTCCTACTGGGGCTGTCTTAAGGACAAAATTTATTCAAAAACAATTCAAAACGAAGAGCATTTGCGGGAACAAATAAATGGAGCTGCTGCTGAGATAGCCCAATTGAGTTTAAAAGGCGCCGGGCTTTCATTAGAGTAGAAGGTCGCCAATTTGAGCATATTTTATCAATAAATGAATAAATTTTTCTTCAAACAACTCATGTATATCTTAATTCACGTGAACCCATCCTTCACACAAAATATTAATAGATATAGCCCTTGTTATAGACTCTAGTCCGAATTCCGGTAAGTAACATAAAATAATGTCAGAAGCAAGTAATTATGTACCTTTGTACTATTTAGCATGTCATTTGACGGTAACAAGAGCAAATTCAATTTAAATCTATTAAATACATTCTAGCGTGTCTCAGTCCTTTACCCACAAAAGCGGCTATAACTTTTTGTTCTATTCATAACTGTAAGTGTGGCACCTTTTTGAAATCTTTATTAAATGAGCAATTTTTTTATGTAATGTAAAGTTATAGCTCAGTACTTTTTTTTCGCCCGAGATAGTCAAAGTTGGGGAAGAAAATATCGAAAAGTTAAAAATCCAGAAATAGTCCTAATTTTATGATGGTTCCTTAATATATTTTAACTACATTGCATTTGAGTATGGAGAGGCAACTCTCTGGAAGTATTCTACATAAAAAATTTACTAAGTATTGCCCGGTTTGTAGTTGCAGTTAAAGAAAACACATGAAAAGGCACGATTTTTTTTAATTCGCAAAAATGTAAATATTTCAAAAACGGTGACACTTTTACCTGAAATTTTTTGTTTATTTCAAGCCTATGCCTTGTAGGATCCCAATTTTTTTCACTATGTTATAGGCCCAGGAGTCATGGCAATACTCTGTCAAAGTTTGTTTGATCCTGTACGTCCGTTTAAGCTGCAACGTGGCACATACATACATACATACGTACTTCCACAAATATATACTAGACTTCCACAAATCTTTAAAGTTAAGTTTACGGTTTTAAATATTTTCCAGAATGAACAAAAAATATAAAGTTATTGATCTTGTTGAAATGATCATAAAAGCTGGCTAGATAACAAGAAATTCATCATAATATATAATAATAATAATAATAGATTGGCGCTTACACATATGTTTGTGTTTGGCCGAGCTTCTTCTCCGATTTGTGGCGTGCGCCTTGGTGTTGTCACACAAAGCGGAGGGACCTACAGTTTTACGCCGACTCCGAACGGCGATTGTATTTTTATGAGAAGCTGTTTTTCATGGCAGAAATACACTCGGAGGGATGCCATTGCCTGCCGAGGGACGACCGCTGTTAAGAAAAAACCTTTTTTTTTTATTTTTGCGATGTTGCTTTGACCAGGGTTTGAACCCAGGCATTGTGGAGTGGAAGCGCGCACTGCTTAACACTACACCACAGCGGCCGAAATTCATCATAGCTCAAGA